TGGATCACTAATAAATTAAGTTAATTTTGGTAATTTTGTTTTGTGTGTATATGTAATCTGTATCTCTTCCTCTCTCATCCTCTTCCTCTATCACCCTATCCTCTCTAAACTTCTCAGGCTACTCCAGTACTTGGTGTTAGTCCCTCAACACATCTAATTCACCTGTTTTCCTCCCTGTCTCTGTCTCTATATGTTCTATGTGTTGTAAAGTGTTATAATAAATAAATAAATAAATAAATAAATAAATAATAATATAACATTAATAGATCATGCCATCATCATTATCAACTGATACTCCTGATGCTAGTACTGCAGTGCCAGTGATGAACTCAACCTCCTCGTTACTGTCTCCTACTAATGATGTATCATTACAGGATATTACTGTATTGAATAATGATAATAAATCTATTGCAGACATTGCACATCTATAGACGATATATGAATATTTACACAATTTTTTATGATAAAATAAATACAAGTACATACATGATTCTGTTTTGTAAGTAGAAGAATAAAATCATGTATTTACTTAAGCCACGCCTTAATTGAATTTGGTGTGACCAAGTAACACATATGCTCAAGGACATCATCTATTGAATCTCTCTTCCATCCACTTCTAGCAGTAATCTCACAGTAGCAGTTTTTCCAAACTGGAAAAACTCATTTTTCTAAACTGGAAAAACTCATTTTTCTTAAATAATACTTAACAATACTCATTTACTGTACTATGAGTGCATTTTATGCAAACATATAAATAACTATTAAGTGTTTTTGTCCTCTCTTCTTCATTTCAATACATGATAGTTGATGATTTTTTTAGTAAAATACATGAATTAAGTTTTCTAAAATAGAGAATATTTTTGACCCTAGTACAAGTAAATACAAGCACTTTATTTTAAAAATAGAAGTAAATACAAGTAAATGAACTATTAAGTAGATGTGCAATGTCTGATCTATTGATAGTTGTAATGGAACTAATAATAGGTGAGGGAGAGAAAGAGAGAGGGAGGGAGGGAGGGAGAGAGAGAGAGAGAGAGAGGGGGGAAATAGATTAGTAATATGCTTGTATGTACATGAAATGATGATACTATACTTTCTATTTTTTCTTTCATTTTGTAGTAGTGGATCTCCTCCAGTTAATTACAGTGCTAATGATAATGATAATCAATTAATTATTATTATATTAATTGGTTTAAGTACTGTCACTATACATGTTATACTGTGTGCCGTTCACATATGTTGTCATGGTAACGGAGAGATAAAGTTTAACAAGTCAGAGATAAAGAGAGAACTGATGGAGAGGAGAGAATGGGAACAGATCATGTTACAGAACAGCAACTGGAATAGCAGCACTGATGAAGATTAATGTATATTCTTTTGTATATTTATTATTATAAATAGTATGATGAATAGCTAACAATTGATAATGTTGTTGGTGTGTTCCAGTAACTATTTTCATGAGGTCCTATATACCACACACACACACTGATA